GCAGCTCTTTCACACCCTGCCCATGTCCCTGCTGTCTGGAGCTGTCCCTGCTGGGAGCTCTTTCTCTGTCCCTACATCTCCCTGGCAGTGCTCACAGACACCATCCCACACACTGCATGCCCATCTCTGCCTTGCAGACCCCTCCTGGCAGCAGGGCACTATCCAGAGGCAACTCTGCATGTGCAGGGGCTTGGGAGAAGCTCAGTCAGATGCTAATGAGAACTAGAGTCTCTGTGCTTTCACCAGACTGGAGAAATAAATATCCATTTCCTACTGCCTCTCCAGCCAAGAAAGAGTGGAAAACTCAAAGCACAGATTTCTTCCATGTCAGGTACATGCTGCCTTGATGTTATCCTTCAAAAGGACCCTCTGCAATTGCTGTGGGAGTGATCTCTAGCTGTGAGCTGCTCTGACCAGTGTAGCAGCCTCTCGATTGCAGAAGGACTTGCCCTGTCAGACGTCACACCTCCAACCCAGAGCTTATCCCCAGGCTGCTGTGGGGAGCTCCCTGGGCAGACTGAGCACTGACCCTGGCAGGTAGCAAAGTCCCTGCTCCAGCACACAGCCCCTGTGTCACAGGAACCCTTCTCTAGAGAACAACCATGAGCACAGCTGGCTGCGCCCGGTTTTCCCACACTTGAACCATTCCTGTGAGAAGGGAGTTGTCATGTCCTCCCCCTCTGATGGTGCTGCAGGGAAGCCCTGCCCTGCAGCACGTCGTTCTCCACAGTAAAGAAACCCTGAGACCCACCCTGCCAACTCAGAGCTGCATCAAGATGTGGGAGTTCCAGGAGACCCCTCCAGGACACACCTGTATTGCCCTGAAGCCAGAAACTTACTGTGTTACAGACTGCGTAGATTTGTCCACCAGTGAACTCAAAGCATTCTCCCACTCCACAGTGCCTGCAATATCTCTCTCACTTCTCTCCTCTCTCCTTGGTGCCTGCAGGCAGTGCCCTCAGCCCTGCTACTCTGTGCAGAAAAGCTGCTCCTGAGCAGAACTGTTTTTCTGCAGCGCTGCCTATTTTCATTATCTGACTCCATCCCAACAGACCAGCCCAGTTCAGCAGCAGAGAAACAGCCCAAGACAACACTGATTCTGCTCCCTCTGGGCTCTCTCCGGGTGTCCCTGGGGATCCAGGGGAACCTGCTGGGAAACAGGCTTAAGGATTCACTGATGTTCCTTCCCTCAGCTGGGCAGAGACACTATTTCCTGCAGTGTCATTTTTCAAATAGTGGCTGAATTAAGTCAAAGATTTACCTTTTCATGCCTCATTGTCAGACAGGAAAACAAGACAGTGACCAGAAGGGATCTCCTTTCCCTCCACTGAAGGAAGGGATTCAGCTGAGTCAACAGAGGTATTTCATTCTGGCTCTGCAGACCTGGGGCTAGAAGGGGACTCATATCTCTGCCTGAAATCCCCAGGAGGTGGGATTCCACTGCCCTCCACTCAGGCATGCACCAAATGGCCACCTGCATTTGAGCTGCTTGTCTCAACTCCCTTGGGAATTAATGGAGATGAGGGCCATGAGTGAGCTGCTGGGACACCAACCCCTGGTATTACTGGAGGTGCCAGAGGTAACCAAGATGCCTGCTGGTAACTGCAAGCTCTTACAGATCAGTTCATAGAGACAGGGCAGCATCTGGGGGCATCTTCTTGGAGGCTGGTGGGAAATTCCTTTTTTCCACCTTAAATGCCAGAAGATTCCCACGTACAGGACAAGTGACCCTGTAACTATTTTTGTGTCCAGGGCAGCCCACAGAGGTGTTCACCTGACCAAATAAAGTCATGTGGCACAGGAAGAGCTCAGTCTCTCTCCTTCACTTTACCATCAGCTGTATTCTCTCCATGTCCTTAAGAGCAGAATGGCAGGTGTTTCTTGTGCATCCCTTCATTGCTGAACCTGATTCAGGGCAGCTGAGTCTTAATTTAATTTACAAGTACAGTCCTGAAATGCTGTGGGAAGTGCCAGGGTTGTCCATCAAAACTGCATACAACTGACATGGACAGCATAGGTCCTGTGCAGGAACCCCATCCCCAGTCAGACTAGTTGTGTGACAGGCATCTGCCAGGGCATCTCAGACAGAGTTGGTGTCTTTTGGTCAGTGACAGAATCCCACCACTGCATTGACACAAGGTCTGTCCCTTCTCTCTCCAGTAGATGCTGGGCAGTGCATGAATACCAAGCACATCACACCAGGGTCTCCACTCATGTGCACTCCCTCTCAAACTCTGCTTGTTCTTCTCGCCCCCATCATTTAACCATCCACTTGACGATACAGTCATGGATCAGGCCAATGATTTTCACAGTGTGCCTGGGTCACAGAATGTCCACACCCAAGGACATTTTCAACATCATCACTTCTCTCCTGCGACCAGCCTTCATTTTCACCTCAGGCCCTCAAGGCTGCATAAGCACAACAGAACAAAACTCCCCCCCATCCTGTAGTGCCCAGCTTTTTTTCTCTGTGGCCTTGCAGAGGGCAGGGTTTGTTCTCTTTGTGGGCACCACATTCCTTTAAATTGCCATTGAACACCCACTCAGGCAGGTTTCTACTCTGAAGCAAAGACTTTGGAAAAACAAGGTCTGGAGTGCTTGGTAGCAGGTTTCCCTGTTGCAAGTCTGTTTGCAACAGACTTGAAAGGCTTCTTTTAAAAAAAGGATGGTCATTGTTGTAGGTGTTCCCTTCTGAGGGGAACACAGGGTCCCATATGCTTCCCAGACCCATCCCACAGTGAAGTCTGCTGCCTCCCTGGGGCCCAGGTTAGGGACATCACCAGAAAACTCCCTGGTCTGGTAAAACCCTCTGACTATTACCCTCTGTTGGTAATAAATGTGGGCAGTGATGAGCTCAAGGAGAGGAATCCAAAAGCCATCAAAAGAGACTTCAGGGCACTGGGGCTAATGGTTGCAGGATCAGGAGCACTGTAGTGTTCTCTTCAATCACCTTAGCAGCAGGGAATAATACTGAGAAGAAGAGGAAAGAACACCTGATTAACACGTCTCAGACACTGGTGTGAATGGTGGAGTTTTGGGTTTTTTTATCATGGGGAGGTTTATATGGCACAAGGCTTGTTGGCGACAGATGG